CACACACACACACACACACACACACACACACACACACACACACACACACACACACACACACGCGCGCGCACGCTCGTGCGCGCGCCCGTGTGTGTGTGTGTGTAAGAGAGAGAGTAGGGCCTTTTTATTAAAAATAAAAATAAAAAAAATGACTGGGTTTCAGGGGCGGGGCAGTGCAGCGGGGCGCCCTGCCACACCCCCCATCCCTCAAGCCCCCAAAAGCCCCACCACCACCACAAAACCCTTCCTCCCGCCCCCACTCAAACCTCTCTCAAGCGCGCTTAGAGCTCGGGATTGAGCAGAGCTCAATGATTGATCTCCAACCCTTCGCTCAATCAGCGTGATGTAACACACCTTGCCGTAAACCATCATCTGTACGCCTACGACTTGGGCCGGAGTCTCCATGGGGAGTCACTCTATTCGGGGCCGCTCCGACGGTCGGCCCCCCCCCTGGTGGTGAAGCCGATATCCTAGGGTCTTGTTCCCCCAGTTAACAGGCATGTCCGAGAGTTTACAAAACCAGTCCATCAGTTTTGTATCTCTTCCATATTGTGCTCGCTCGCTTCCACCATCGGTATGAGATGATCTGCGAAAAGGGAACATACCTGGATGGCCCCCTTCGGGATCCATGTTACCTGAATTCTTTGTATATCCTTGCTGTGTCTGAGGTTGGCTGACAGGGCCTCCATAATGAGCAGGAACAGGAAGGGAGCTATGGGGTTGCCCTGTCTGACTGATCGGCGGAGTTGGATGTCTGGTGCTAAGGAGCCATTAACTTGGACCCGGGTCATGGCATTTTGGTGAAGTCCTGAAACCATCTGCGGAAGTTAGGTTTAAATTTCTCTAAAATTCATCTTCTCCAGGCACGCATCCAGGAATACTCAGTCCACGCGGTCATACGGCTTCTCGAAATTGATAAAGATAAAGGTCGCATTTTGTTTGGACTACCTTTCCTCCACCACTGAAACACCTCCTCTCCCATTGAATAACTGGCAACTGTATGTGGGTGAAATATTATCTTCCCTCTTCACCCAAGAGTCTTCCTGGCCAAGGTAATCTGTTTCAAGGATTACCTTCGACTCAGGAGGGATGGCATGACCAATTATTGCCAACTTCTCCTCTATGTCCTTCATGTATCTGCGCTTGTCTCTAGCTTTGTTTTCCCCCAATCCTCCTCCTCTATGTATTTGCGCTTGTCTCTAGGTTTGTTTTCCCTCAATCCTCTATTTTCCTTCATTTTCCATATGCCTTTGATTCTTGACACTCCTCTACCACTTTCATTGCTTTTAATGCCATGACAAGTTATTGCCAACTTGTCCTCTACCTCCTTCATGTACTTGCGCTTGTCTCTGGGTTTGTGTTCCCTCAATTGGAATCAATCCTCTATTCTCCATCATTTTCCATATGCCTTTGATTCTTGACACTCCTCTACCTACTTCATGTTCCACTTGGCTTGTTTGCCAGTCACACCATTGTTCTCGATGATATTCTTTTTTTTTTTTTTTGTGGGGCCCTCACTGCATTGCCTAGATTGACACTATGCTTTCAGGAAACCTGTCAGCACTTGGAAATGATTTGCTTTCTCAGGTCACCAGATGACTTTGCTAGAGAGAGAACTTCAGTGTCCTCATCTCTGCATAGTTCTCATTGATGCTTCAACATTTTCCTCACCAAACCAATCAATTGCTGGTCCTTTGGCATCAGTTAGGAGTCTGCATGGCCATCTGAAACATGGCATCTACCCTTTTTGGAGGGTGAATAATACGAAGGTCCCCTTCACCCCCTAGTTTCACTACTTTCCCAGATGCCACTTCGGATAGGATTTTTTTTTCATTCTTCCATAGGTATTGAGCAGGTGTTATTAAGATCCTTTTGTGGAAGCCCTCATCCTAACCCTTATACCATATCGGCTGAAAGGGCAACATTCTATGGCAGGTAAGCCAGACGCCGATGTGGTTTTTCAAACAATTCGCTGGTCGTTTGATTCCAAGGATTGGCAGTCCAGGAGGGGTTTGAATGACTTGTTTTAAGTTTTAACCCGAATGTTCACACAACGGTGCGAAGACAAAATAGGCATTCAGGAGCAAGAAAAGTGGTTTGTCGTTTTGGGGTTTCCAGGATGACCGTCGATCGTCCCAAGTACCTTGCGTGAAGACAAAATAGGCATTCGGGAGCAAGAGAGGCGATTTGTCATTTTTACTGGTTGCAGTGTGGTGACTTTTTTTACCCGTATGACCATCTATCATCCCGGAGATCTTGCAACGTACGTCATGGGATTGAGAGGAGGGCGTGACGAGGAAATGGGCATTCAAGAGCAAGAGAGGCAGTTTGCCATTTTCAGGAGGCGGAAATGTGGTAACTTTGCTACCCAAATATTTAATATTCATGTGCGCCATTGTTGTTTTTGTGAGTTGCAGTGTGGTGACTTTTTTACCTGAATGTTGACAGGGGGGCAGTTAACCTGGTGGTGGGAGCAAGAGAGGTGATTTGTCGGTTTTAGGAGTTGCAGTGTTGTTTTTGTTGCCATTTCTTCTGCAAGAACATTGCTGCATTGGGATATGGGTGTGAAGAGAAAACAAGCATTTGGGTTCTAGAGGGGTGATTTGGGGGTCTTAGGGAAGTCCCACTGATTTCTCCTTTTTTGCCAGTTTTCGCACATTACACTTTTGCACCCAAATGTCCACAGTGGGGCAATTAACCTGGTGGTGGGAGCAACAGAGGTGATTTGTTGTTTCTGGGAGTTGCAGTGTTGTTTTTGTTGCCATTTTCTGTGCAAGAACATGGTTGGTTTGGAAGGAGGGCATAAAGAAAAAATACTAAAATAGGCATTGGGG